AAGAGGACCGTATGAGACTTGTGGGTTTAAGAATTAGGTTGACAAATGAGAACGAATCTTACTTTATAACATATTAAATAGGTAGTACAAGAACCTTCGTATGGAGGTTAAATCATTAAAATGATAATGAAAAATTATTGTTCGCCATTACAGAATGAAGATGATCGTGTGATTTGTATTAAATACTCAATTCTCTTCATGTAGATAGTGTATAACATGTGAGTCAGTCCTATCACCTAAACCCTTAATTTTCACGCAAATCTAACCTTAAACCTTCAATTCAGACACTAACCAAGAACAACGTCAGGACTCCTTCGTATGAGAGTTTGGGAAGACGGACAACCTATATCCTTGTGTAAGGCATTATATGTCGTTGTTGTTTCCATTAACAGACATAATGACCTGTAGAAAGCTTCAACAGATTACTTATTTATGTAAAGTATGTTTACATTTAGTGATATTATTGCTTTTTTCTGTGAACTATTCATTAGCAATAGTTATTTTCTGTTTGGTTAACAACAGGCTTAAATTCATTGCGGTTGTCTTAAGACCGTACTTATGCTATCGTACACTCCTACCATAAAAAATAAAGATGAGTAATAGGCAAAACATATATTCTTCATGATTTATCTTCTTAGTAAACAAGCTATACACGTCCTAGTAGTCTATTTTTATTTGAAATATCTGATTAATGGAGAAGTACTGCTTTTTCAAATTTGATTTATGTGATTTTCAACACATTCATAGAATTCTCAACTATTTGGACTACAGAATCTTCTTTCTATTGTTCTTGATGAAATGAGTTAAACCTTTTCCATTGAAAGAATCACAGTATGGGATAATAAGTATAACACATATGTACCATTTCAAATGAGCATTGACTGTTAAACCGGTAAGAAAGCTTTGCTATGCCTACAAAATACTTAATTGGCTGGTACTATTTACTGCGACCGTGAATGTGACGATAAGTAATGAGAACATAAAGATTAGTGATATTGATTTGTTTGGCTCCAAAAATAAATCAAAATAATACTTGAATGCACCACGTTTTCTACGATTAATTTATATATATCTTGACCCATTGATAAGTTAAAATAAAGCAAAAATAAGATTCACAGAATAATATGAATTAATCATATTTCTAGGCTTGTCATCAACTGCAAGCAGATTAAATTCACATTATTAATATTATTGAAAAAACTTTTTTGATTACACACCATAATGAAGTTTAGTTCAAAATGACTTAACAAACAAGAAGAAAAAATGTATTTAACATAATAGTTAAGACTGACCAATATTTATATGTTGAACATAAAATTATACAAAAAGGGGAACGATCCATTTCTTATAGAGGTGCTTCTTGAGACCCAGGACCCCCTGACACATTGAATTTAGTGCTTTATTGATCCCTAGCCAGTTGTCCTCTATAGTAGCTTTTTCGTCTTTGAGTAGATCTTGTAAGGCTTGGATCCTGTTGTTGAGAGCTATTTTAATTTCGTTCAGTTTTTCAGTATCGTGAATGAAGGCTTTACTAAACCTTTGCAATGCTATCTCTTCAGTTGTCTAGTACTTCTTTAACCTCACTTTCATCCCAGCGACTACCAAGTGGTGATTTGAAGTTATATCAGCTCCTATCTTTGTTTCAAAGTCTTCTAATGACCTTCTGAACTTTTTAGTGATTAAATATGATCGGCCTGATTCTCTGTAGTGTGATCCGGTGGGGCTCATGTAGCTTTATTTATGCCACATAAAACTATTTAGTTGAATGCATATAATTTTGTGAATCTGTCATCATTCGTATTCCTTTCTCCTAGTCAGTCTATGTTGTCCGATGATATCTTCATATAATGTGTTGTCCATTCCGACTTTGGCATTTAAGTCTCCCATCGGGATGATCAGGCCCTTTCCTGAACATTTCGTCATGATTTATTCCAGCCTCTCATAAAAATGAACTTTACTGTCGTCATTACGATCATTAGTGGTTGCTTAACATTGGATGACATTCATTGATTCCCTCCTTTTTTGTTTTGAAAGACGTTTTGATGATCCTGGGTCCTCCAGATCCCCATCCTATAAATGTTTTTCCTGCTTCTTTGACAGGCATCAGTTCGACTCCTTGTGTGTGCAAAGCATCCTTATCTTCATGACCAGAATACAACAGCATCTTCGCCAAACCTAATTTTTCCTGTCCAGATTGGGTCCAGTAGGTTTCACTGATTCCGAGCACCATCAAGTTGTATCTCCTCAGTTCCACAGCTATTTGAATGGTCCTCTCAGTCTCCCAAATTGTCGGAATATTCCATGTACCTATATTAATTGTTGATCTAACTGGCAGAAGGGGCATTGGTCTAGCGATTTTCTAAGAGTCTTGGCTTTCACTATGAGGCATCATAATTCTTATGAAAGAAGACCCTCCAACTCGAATAGCAGAGTTTAAATCGTTTAATTTGTTTATTCGGATTAGTGTTTTTTTAGAAAGGCTGTTTTCCACGGGATGAAGTTGCTGACCCCATACCCGACCACCCTTCTTTATCCAGGCCTGGGACCGGCAATAATCTTAGAAGGGCTACAGGTGGTGTTTTGTAAATGATAATAATGAGATAATAAACAAAAACAAATTGTAAACAAATAAGTGATAATCAAGGCCTCTATTTGGTATAAAATTAAAGTCGAGGGTGAACGTCAACAGGAATTTTTACTATACGTTATAAGACGTAATATAGAGATAATGTAACCGACAAGCGTTAAAATAATGTTACTATCTTAGAGTGATAATGAGAGATTCGCCACACATTCAATGTACAAAGGTCAGACCGAGAGCGCTTGATGTAAATGACCGCTGCTAAGTTGAATAAAATTATTATACGTTGCCTGTTAATTAGTTTAAAAGCTTTTGAGATATGCATTTTGAGTCAACTATTTACTAAATGTTTATAGGTCGACTTATTTCAGTCCTTCCTATATGCTTGATTCCACAAGAATATGTGAATTCGTAAATACATTCAGCGGTGACCTCAGAAAGTATTGATCCACTTTTGATTGATTTAAAGAACGTCTGGTGTAATACACCGAAAATAGTTGGGCTGAAGGGAAGCTTCTCTATTGAGTTGCCTTAATTCTTATATCAATCCTGCTTGAAATATCTTTACTTTTGAGTGTAAGATGGATGAAGACAGGTTTTCTGTTAATAGTTGTTTTGCTTTTCCGTATTTCATAATAAATTTCTTTGGATATCCGTTTTTTTATAATACACTCTTCAATGTATGCTGCTTTGTCCTGTATTTTCTCGGTTAAACACAACTTTCTAGCTCTATTAAATAGGGTTTTGAATAAACAAAGTTTGGAACTAGCACGACAACTACTATTTTCTTTTCCGAATATGATCTCGGTTCTTCCATTGTTTTGTTTTCCGGTCTAACTAGTTGAATTGATTATGTTCATATTTCATCCCGAATTTGATGTTAATATGTGGTTGATCAAACTGGTAGAGCAACTGTAAGGGAAAACTCATACAATTACAAACAACAAATGCATCACCAACAAACCTTTTGTAGAATTCTACATCTTCGATTCCTTATTTAAGTTTCGTTTCTTCAAGACTAACCATAAAGATGTCAGCCAAAATAGGGCCTAGTGATGATTCCATGGCCAACTCATCAACTTATCTACATAACTGATTGTTGAATTTGAATTGAACCCCTTTCGTGCACAGTAGTAGTAATTTTCTTATTTTGGAGCAGAGGAAGTAATTCGGAATGCTGGTATATTAAATTTTCGTCTCTTGGAAAATTTGTAAATAATGAACAAACATCAAATGATATCACAAAATTATCTGATTTGTCCACATGATCAATTTGTTGAGATTATAATGTGCCTTATAAAGTATGATTTGCCATTTTTCTGCAAATACGTTCTAATAATTTCGCTAACCATCGAGCCAGTTTATGATACGGTGAATTTAATATTGAAATAACCGGTCGTAAAGAGATATTTAATTTGTGGACTTCAGAAAGAACATACATGAAAGGCACACGTTCTCCTTTAGCTTTAAACTGGAACATCAATAAACTTTTCTTAAAATTTCTTTAAAATGTTTGTTCATTTTGACTTCAGTCGCCACAGTAAAATCTTTCTTAGATATATCAATCTGAAGCATATTCTGCACGTAGTCATTTCGACTCACTATGACGACATCCGAACATTTATTTGGTCTTAATACAACCTTATGATTCTTTTGTAAAGATTTCAGTATTGACTTGTACTCCGTAGTTAAAGTCATTGAATGTGGCATTGAAGAAATTACATATTAATCTAAAATATCAACTAACTTGACTTTAAACCAACCGAGCAGCATCACCGATTAATCAATAGTTTACTGTGTAAACAGATTTACATTATCACATAATTAAGCATTTATAACAGACATAACTTATTGAGTAAGTCCATACAATTAGTCTTTTGTAAACTGTAACGATATATCATACATCAGTCGCGCTACAATCGATTAATCCAATGCTCGCCATATGAAGTTTTGTACTGAATTCAGTGCTATTCGCAAACATACACATACACATGTTCCCTGATCTAGAAGCATTTATTAAAAATATATACTTATCAGGACAAAAGTGCAGTAACACTCAGATAAATCATCTCAAATACGATTAAACGCACCTAATCGATCACCAACGTCTAGATGGCGGTGGAGAAGTGGCTTAATGATTAAAGCGTTTGACGTTCAACTAATAAGTCCTAGGTTCAAACGCCAGTCCACCTCCTTCAGTTTAGATAACCGGGTAGTACCACCAATCTTTACATTTAGAGCGTGGCTCATAGGTAAGTTTGAACAGTATAATACGGCGAATTTGTAAAAGTATTTACACTGTAAGCTAACACTTTTAAAAGAGATAAAAATGATAAGTGTCCAGTAAGCTAATGATCTAAAGTAAGAAATCTAAACAAAAAACCAACTAACATAAACAATCCTTGTAAGAAAGCCAAATAGCGATATAATATTATATATATTTAATTACTTCTTACGGAATAGTAAATTGATTTATATGAGCCAAAATAGTTTATAATAATAATAATTTAGGCACATAGGATCTTTTATCAGTTGTTAAATAAATGTTTATTCTCATAAAAATATGAATGTGTACAAAAAGAAAAACAAAGCTGAAGCCAACAATAATCCATCTGTACTAGACGTGACATCAGCAGATTAATGAAGAAATTAATTCAAAACAAGAAGATACAGAAAATATGTGCAATGAATAAAACAATTGATTGGTTAGATAACATTGACAATGATTTTGACGTAGAATGATAATGAATAAAATAGAGTATGAGATTTTTTTTTAAAAAAAAGACAGAACAATTATTTTCAAGGAGTTAAAATAATGCATCAGACCTTAGTTATTAATACAATCTAATTCACAGTGAAAGAGAGTTTATAGGTAAAAAGAAAAATAAAGACACACACAAAAAAACAACTAGGTATAACAAAGTTACACTTTTTTCAGCAGTATTATATTAAAAAATTACTTTGTTTATTTACTCTTCCCGATTATTATTTTGTGGTATTTTTGATGTCAATAGCATAGATGGATTTGTATTACCAACTTCTAAATTATTATTTTGTAAATAATGATCCATTCGATAACGCCAATTTACACCATCTCCAGGACTAAAGAGTGAAATAAGAAGAAATGGTTTTAAATAAATATTTATCATATTATATATATTACGAAAGCCATCATCCAGAAGATACAAGTGTTTATTAACAGTTGCCTACGCGAAATATTTCGGAGTCGTCGGCCACACGCTATCAGTAACAACCTACTATGTGAGAGAACAAATCAGATCTCAGCGGAGGAAGAAGCGCTGGAAGTGAATAGGACATACATTGAGGAAAGCACCCAATTGCGTCACAAGACAAGCCCTCACATGGAATCCTCAAGGCCAAAGGGAAAGAGGAAGACCAAAGAACAAATTACGCTGGGAAATGGAGATAGACATGAGAAAAATGAACAAGAATTGGATGGAACTAGAAAAGAAGGCCCAGGACAGAGTGGGTTGGAGAATGCTGGTCAGCGGCCTATCCTCCATTGAGAGTAACAGGCGTAAGTAATATATATATATATATATATATATATATATATATATATATATATATATGATTTTGCTAGGATTAAACAAAAAATTCTGTCGAGTCTTAGACAATAATTTCGTAATTTAATGCGTCAAAATTTCGTTGCAGATTGATAAACTATGACGTAACTGTTCCTTCACATCATCTACTTCATTTTTAAATGTTATTTCGATCTAAGATCGCCCACGAATTAACTATTACACAAACAATTTGTACAAACATATGAAAACAGTAAGAACTCTCTTGAAAAAAGTCAACTTTCCATTTTTTTACAATTCAACAACTGAAGTGTTGTTACAAATACTGTCATTCCACATAAGCTTAGCAAAAGTCGTACAGCTTGAAGCCAATGTCAATCTCTCATAACTACAAAGTACAACAGACTAAAAAAAATTCACAGTTGGAAGCAATGTGACTAGATTCATTATGTAAAAGTGTATTATCTGGTATGTTCGAACCCAGAAGTACGGCAGTACTATTAGCCCTCACACGAACAATGTGGCTCAAAGCCGAGTTACATAAAATTATATATAGTAAATGAGTAACTTTACTTATGTGGCTATCTCAAAGAGTAAAGATTTTATTCTCAATGGTTTTCGTTCATAAACCTCTGGTAGGAATACTTATAAATACATGGCACTATACTGAAGTCGAATATAAGAATGAGCACAAAAAAGCATGTGATACAACTATTGAAAAAGATGAGTTTGGGAACAAAATTAGTGAGTCAGTAATGTAAGAAACTTCACGTATATTTGTCGACAGAAAGATATAAGTATTATCCCTATCATTGTCGCTTACGAAGTAAGTTAAGTCTACATTATACGTTACTTAGCAGTAAAAACATTTTAGCGGTTAGAAACTAACTATAAGATAATTTGATCTACCTAAGAAGTATGTTAACAAAAGTTGGCTATAACCATCTGATTGGTCGACGAAAAATTGATCAATTTAAGACGCTAAATATTGTAATACAGTTAAATTAAATACTGTATCCATGGTTACACTACGTGACCATCGACATATTCGTTTACCAACCAAATGGATAAAACTGAGTTCATTTATTTCAGGTGAATTATTCAAAACCTTAAAATTCCTAGTGAATGAGCTTATACACATAAGAATCGAGTAAAAAAATTTACTGGTTGAAATCATGAGTCAATTGAAGCTAGACCACCATGGAAAACCTGGTGGTCTAGCTTCACATGACTCATGATTTCAGCCAGTGAAATTTCTAAAAATCTCCACAAAACCCATTCTGATAAATAATTTTAATTGACAATAAAATTAAGACATACTTATCTCTTAAAGTGATATAAAAATGACAAAATATGGGATTTAGACAAGAGTTATTGGCAACTGTCTGTTATGGACATGTTAAGTGTAAGGCAACCCAACCAACTAGGACAAAAATACAAATACAATCCAAGTTAAGTGTTGAAATGAAACCTTTAATGAGAATTACACTCCAATATTCAACATTAACTAAATGAATGGAAAAATAATCGAAAATATAGGGTAAGATACACTCAGTGAATATAAGAGCCTTTCGAATAAACTCAGTACAAATATAAGAGCATGACAGTGAGAATTTTTCAAATCAAATGAATTCGCCTACACAATTATAACCAAGTTCTTATCTATTATCCCTCCCTCAATAAGTGGTTTATAATGTGCATCGAATTGCTTATTCAGATTAATTCTGGTTGCAATTTGAAATATACTACAATGTACAATAACCAAGCATTTGTTTTCTAATGGACTTCTAAACAGGGTTGAAGCACAATTTTTCATCAACGGAATAAAAATGATTATCATTCATCACCTAACAGATCGAAAATTAAATTGTTATATCCAGTACATACTTCATAGTTTACTGGAAACCGTATTCTAATGTTTTTACATACTATTCATTTTGTTAAAATTGAGTTCGTGTTATAACTTGTGGCCTGAGTGCCCTGCTAATGTATACGTAACGATATCGCCAATTAGACAGCAGTGACTTATCGATCGGATCAATGACGCATAAACCCGTACGAGCAGTCTAGAGTCCTGATTGGTCCTGCTTTCCGCCTAGCCCAGACAGTTAAGTCCAGAACACCAATCTCAGCTTCTGCAATATGAATCATTTATTTCAAACATACTGAGTTTATATACCAATCAAACAGACCACAAAGTACCATAAAATAGAAAATGACAATTGTACAAGATTTGGCGAAAAGTGGTTGTGAATGAAGGAGATAGTGATTAATAGACAGAGCATAATTCAAGAATGGTAAAACGCATAATAATAGTTCATAGGTCAAAATAAAGCTAACGATAAGAAGGATATGAATATGCATTGTTTAGTTATTTAACAATTATATGATAAAAATATACGTTTAGTATTGGTCCATAAATGGATCCCAAAAGTTACCATTCATTATGCTTATCGGGAGATAACAGTTCGTTAAGCGGATTGTTAGTTTAATTGTGGAACATTTATTGACATTTTAGATAACATCATCATCATCAAAAACTTTAGATAGTAGTGAACTATTATAATTCCTCCACAAGTAAATAACCACTTATTTTTTCAACGTAAAATTTAACTTGATGTTGTCAACACTTTTAATTGTTTGATTGTTTATCATTACATTTTAGTCTCCTGAAATGCTAATTTCCCTCCGTTTTTCAAGAACACCATAATCTTTCGTATTGTTAATGGAAAGCATTTATACTGTTTAGTAACAGAGCTAGTATTAATTTACTTGTTTTCATTAAGTGTAACTATATATATGTATAACAACCTGACCACGTGCAAGATTAATAAATTATAAAATATAAATAACGATCAAATTCTAATTTTCTATCGATGAGTTAGTGACTAATTTGACCTACTTATTACTTTTATAAACCTTTTTATTACGTGACCACTATTTACACTTGATTACTGTGTAGAAATGATTACTCTGTAAGTGAAACTATTAAAAAGTCAAGCCAACTACAAGTTGAACTAAAAATAGAAACCTTTTTAGAAATATTAGTAAATCTGAGTAACAGGCATTCTCAAATTAAGTTATATGCTTTTTGGCACATAACATGGAGACGACTCAACATAAAAATTGGATTCCCTAAGAAATCGTGCAAAAGTTAACAATAGGATCCGTGGAAAGTCTGCTCTGTTCTAATATACCGGATTACATAATTGATTAATTAATTAATTGATTGTTACGTTGATAAATGATGTTGGTTCAGTGATGCCTACATACGACAGTACATACTGTCGTCTAAACCAAGTTGAATTTTGCTATTTATAAAGAAACTAAATTACTATTATAGTTCGGATTTTTCGATCTCACGACACCGATGAGATTGTAAGCATGAATGAGATCATTTTTCGGAAAGTTGCTGATATGAATATATGTTTGACTTGTTAAAATTTAAAATTCTAACTGTTTAATAAACTCTTTAGTTTACGGAACATTCGAAGGTATATTTTGTTAAATCTCTAGTTTGTCAGCTATCAACCAACTGTATTCCATCATCGATGTAAAAATACAACAATAGATTCATTAGATTAAACTATTTTTCAAACTTATATTTGACTTATGGATTAACATTATACATGTTTACTAGTTCTCAACTGTCATGTGTAGTCATACTAAAAGAAAACTTAATATCGATATCAAATACACTGTCGATCAAGGAGTTAACTTTCTGAGTGTGTGTGTTAATAATACAACAAACCGCGAAAAGTCAGCCATAGTAAGCACCATACTTCAATGACTAATGATTACATGATTGATTTAGAATAGCTGTTTCTTTTTATTGGTTCAAATTTATTAAAAAGCGCCGAATTAAAAGTACATAAATAAACCCGAAACAAATAGTCCCAAACGAATTTAAAGCTTAGATCATTGTCATCAAGATAAGTTTGAAGAGATTCTCATTTACTGTCAACATATTCATATTTACTATCCAACTGATTACAAATGAATACATGCCAATCACTCTTTTATTTAAAACAGCTTGATTATTCTATATCTAAGCAAATAAATCATAACTTTACGTTAAATTTGTTACAAACAAGGTTAGATTTACTTTCTACACGTTATTCTCACTGCTGTTTCAAAATACTGACAAGTTAATTATGATAAAATTATTCTACTACTACTATTACTACTACTACCACTGTGGTGTATGCTACTTATGTTGACAGATATAAGTAGTATGTATTACCGATCGGAAGTGGAATACCTGTCAACAGAAGCTTGAATCGAGAAGAACAGGAAGGGCAACAGAGAACAACAAGAATAGCAACAGAATTGGAAGAATCATGAAGTATGTAAACGACAACTGAAGGAAGATATGCAAACAATGTATTTAATGTATGGTTTTCATATTTTACCATGACATTGTGTAATTTCGCATGAACAAATAAATTGGTTGATCATACCAAGTCTTCATTCCCTACACCACTACTGAATAAATGAATGAGAACATTTCGCTTTCAAAACTGTTAAACTAATCAGTTGCTAATTAAAATTATTTAATAATTTACATGAATCTTCTAAAAATGTACCATATATATAACGATTAATTTAAACTTTATCGTTTCGAATTGTCAATTCATCACTTTCATCATTGACATTAGCTTTACAACAAAGTGTGTACAGTTAGTTTAAATTATATAATGAATAAAAATGTATAGTTACTAGTAAAGATTGAATTGTAATAAAATTCTCAGCAAGGAATACTCAATACAAAGGCAAATGATACTATAACTTGGTTATTTAAAAGAAAATGCATACAACGATTTATTTACAATCGGTTAACGAATTCTTTAGAAAATTTGTCGAATATTCAAATGTATCGACTAAGTACAAGATATTAAGCGATTCAATTTCATTATATTTATCTTAATTCTATAATAAGTAGTACATGAATAGATCAGTAAATAAATAAATCGTTTGCTAGGGAAAAAAACACAGAATGAATAGAAAAAAAAAGAACAATTAAGTAGAAGTACTCATCAAATAATAGATCACTCGTGTGTATGCATGCAAATAGTTCATTATAACTTTCATCAGCATTCAGTTTATTGATGAGGAAATATTGTCAGTCAGTCGGCCACAACATAGGGATCGGGCACATATGTTCATCGGTCCAACTTGTCATACCTCATTAGCACAAAAAGATGAACACCAATTTCATACAAGCAGTTAATTCAATGGTGGTAATATATAAAAGAAAGATTGCATGTAAGGAAATAGTACAGGAAGAGAGAATTAGTTCGTAGAAAGAAAGATATAAAGCAATTCCAATCTCTTAGTTTAAGGGAAGACAAAGAGTGTATACACCTACGCCATTGTGACCGATTCCGATCCATGTCACAGAGTCTACAACCATTAGTCACGATAATCACGCGGACCCCAAACAAGTAGACTGCATCTACCAACATGGCCCAGACTAGAAGTTAGAGACTTTAAGCACTGATGCCACGTTTTGGTTTGGCCTCCTCTAACTTTATTCCAACCATTACCAACACTAGTCAGCATTGCACGTCGTGGTAATCAACAATCTTGACAGTCAATGATAACTAGGATATCGACTTAATAACCAAATGAAAATAAATCGTTTCAAAAATCTGTTAAACTTCTAATGAGGCCTTTACAATTGGTTAATCACTCAGTGTGTATGTCAAGTTTTTTTACTGTTGATCGATAGAATTCAACATACATGAAGTAGTTGACAGAAAACATTAGACCTAGGTTTCAGCCCGGTGGTCACTCGTCAGTAAGGTGAACCTGTAATCTTGCTCACCAGTGTACTCGATCCCATGTCACCCAGCTTGACATTCAGAGACGTTACCATTAAGCTATTAAGGCCATGATTAACCTCTTGCAGGACGGAGATGCATTCACAGTCGATTAATAACTGGGTAGTGACTAGCGTCACGTTATTTAAACAACTATCAAAAACCAGGAAGCATTGGAAAGCTGCTTCGTCCTAGTGTGGGGCTCATAGGAAGTGAGCATCCATGATAACACCCAAAACCGAACCTAAGACATTCAGGCCTCACGGCAGGTGCTTAACCTCGAGATTACTGGGTCGGAGTCCAGCACATTAAATTTAATTACTTTCCCTGATCGCAGAGAAACAGTTTAATTATATAAAACAATATTGAGAACGAATAGTTGAAATAGTTCTTAGACTGAACATAATTCATGAAAAATAATGCATAACGAATAAAAAGTTACAATTTTTTCATTCCTAACAAAAATCCAGTTTCAGATCAAATAAATAAGACGACAGTATTCTTGATAAATATAATAAGACTATGGTAAAGAACTATGAATAATCTAACAAGAACACCAACTCACGTAGTGAATACTGGTAGTATAGCTAATTGAAAACAAGATCCAAAAGTTTCACGGAAATTTTCTTTTATCCCCAAATTGAATAGAGTCTTATCAGGTTGACCGCCACGTAATCTTGGATAGTGAAAAGTTTCTATTGGATAGTAAGAAAAATATCGAGTGTTACAGAATCAATGATCAACTATGTTAAATAAATGCAAAAACAACATGCAGTTTAAGAACCATCTACTTCAACCGAATATTCACAAATAAACACAAAAAATGCTATTCAGATATTTAGACATACTAAATAGAAGCGTAAAAGACAACAACAAGCTTTGTAGAATGAATTGTGAATTCATTTCATCATTTCATATACTTATAATCAATATACCCACTGATTTGAATAAATCAATAAAGGGTAATGAGTTTACTAATGAAAATTAATTATCATTACTTTTCATATTCACATCAGTTAATATGTAGACTGAAATTGTATGAAAATCTTCTGAGTTTATTTATCTTGCCTTATAAATAATTAAAAGTTCATTGAGCTGACACTTATAATACACACAATCAAACAAACAAAATCAATTAACATAAACTATTCAAATAAGTTTGTATCCTTGTCCTTGAAATTAAACACTAGATATGAATGTTAATAGTTTTATTTTTCTGAAAAATATTTTCTTATTGTTTATGAAGTCATTTCTAGTCACAAATTTGTAAATCATCTTAATGAAAATGTTAAGTCTTGTCGATTGGAGGCTATATTCGTTCCTAAGCTATTCTGATAACCCACACGCTAGAACTATACAGTGACTTGAACACCAGAAAGAAGACGCAAAAGTATGAGAGGGACACTTTACTCCAAGGCTCGTTTTTGTACAGAAAACATGGGTATTTATAGATGTTAACGTTTGTTAAATCAACATCATATTTCGGCCAATCCGTTAGCGACATATTATGCTGATGACCAATAGTAGCACGCCACGTTGGAATTCTAGGACGCTCCATCATGCTCTGATTGGCTAGGACTCTTCAGCTCCTTTTGGGCCTCTGGAGGCTCCGTTGAAGTTCTCTGAAAGCCGACTCAACAGAAAATAAACAAATAATTCAATACTTTTGTCTTGTTTTTTCTTGGTATCATCTTTGAGCTCATAGAATAAAAACTTAATTTCTTGATTGAGTATTACATGTAAAATAACAGCTGTATATCTATGTTCATTTAGAGGAAATCATTAAACTGTTCAATAAACTAACAATCTATACTGAACACATATTAGTTTGATTTATCTTTATCGAGGTCGTTCGATTCCTTTTCTTTCTTGTGTAAAAGAAAAGCTTATTGACGTCTTATATATTTTATATTGGTTGTTACATTATGTTTACAAATATTTGGTTTCAGTGGGAAACATTAAACATCAATAAAGTTATTCACTTGGTATTGTTTGGCTTGTATCTTCCCATTGAGGTTTAAGACTGTAATTGATCAGTCTGTTATTAGCATATATGCATACTGTGCGTATGCTTCGATATTTCCCTTAATTCACAAGCTATTTGTAAGCAATGATGGATAGTGGCTATCAGTGGAACCCAGGGTGCGCGTTTCGTCCTATTTGGGACTCGTCAGCTGGATGAATCTGTATCTCAGAGTTGATGTTCACTCTGGGACTCGAACCCAGTACCATTCGCTTCAAACGCCATCGCGCTATCCACTCAGATGTTAAGTATTAGTTTCGAGTATTAACCAACTCCATATACATTTGTATTTTGTTTCTTCACAGTTCAAAATGAGATTTGAAGATTCGTATTCTTTTTCCTAACCTATTACCATGGTTGTCATACAATATTTAATTGAATAAACAAGAAGACAAGTGATCCGTTTAGGATTGTCGAATTGTAGGATCATATTTCACTTTAAACCATAGCACAAAAAACAACAGTAACTATACACCACACAGACAGTCCTACTAACGATACATTTAATGTGACGATAATCTAATGTGTCAATGTAATGCTTGAGAAGAGCTCGTTTTCAGGCGTAAAATAATCCTGCAGAATAAACACAGAACTTCTTTGAGTTACACCCCTAGTTTTTGACTGACGATATATATCTTGAAGTATTCCCCATACATTTAACACAATACAGTAAAAATGGATTTAAAATCTCTAAATGTCCCATATTGTAGATGAAAACAACTTATATAAACGAACACTATTGTTATCAATTAAATCTTCACCAGATTTGACTCTAATATACAGTAATAGTTATATTCATATACGAAGAATGGATTAACATAACTAAACATAAAAACGAACTATGAATCAATAATGAATTAGTTCTGTGCAAGATGAAAGAAATTGAAGATTAAAATTTCAAAAATTTTCTAAGGTAATCTAACACAAAAATTATATATATATATATGATATACTCTTCATGGTAGAGTTTACCCAGTGCTTGACACTCTATTTTAGTTGTACGACACCATGTCATGATTACAGTGCATCAACGATGGTGATTAGAATAAACTTGACATCACCACTTATAACAGGATTAAACTTAACATGCACTAATACCAACAGAATAATCTAGTTAAACAGAAAAAGACTCAGTTATCAAATTAAGAAAACTGAGCAAAAGTATGATATATTCTATTTAAGAAACTGAACAGTCTACTGTTTTTCAGTAAATCATAAATATATGAATAGGTTTCCACACTGGGATTTTTATTGAAAAGACAATTCTACATAATATATTCAAATACTTTACGTGGCTAGAAGATTGAAAGTATATGGATGAGGAAATCTGACATGATTTCAAAACAAATCAATCAATATATTTAGGGAGTATAAATGTAGGTTAGAGGTCAAAGCACTCGATTATTAGACAATCAAGAGCAAAAGTTCGAATCCGGTCTCAGCTAATTTAGTTCGGATAGTTGGTTAATATCATCATAACTTTCATAAATATAGTATGGCTTAAAAATAAGTAGACAAATTTATACTCTGTAGTTGAGTTACATTAAATTGGTCAAATCATATGTTTTCGAATTAAAGTTAAACAACTAACTTGTCATGCTAATTTTAGCTCTCAAGTTCTCAGTAAGTACCTTCTTCTTGGTTAAATTACCCGAAATTTCTTAACTAAACGGAGTATTTTAATTGTTTTGAATGAGAATTAAAATCTTAAGGAATTTTATTCTGAACAAACAAAAATATAACACTTAATTGTATTATATAGTTTGCACGAATAAACTACTTACCTAAAGTTGATAGATTTATTCCAACCAAATACATATGATATGAAGCTAAGCCAAGTTGACAAAGACCAAACATAGCAGCCACAATAAAAAGGAATAACACTTGAAATCGATCAACTGATATATTATTTGGACACTGAAAACAAAAAATAATCAACACATCAACAAATTAACTTACTACTAATTAAAATGTATGGAAGTAATTATATGAACAGATAGCTATAACACAAACAATCTTCTCAATGTGAGACTTCGTACAGACAAACATTTGTATGAACTAAAGATAGAAAATATAGTTTGAAATGAAAGAATGAATGAAAAATTACGTAGTAACAGTGATAATAACAAAAAAAAATTCAAAATTTAGAAGATAAACAATAAATACATGGTCATCACTATCATTTTGATGAAAGAGTTAACTGACACTGATTTTATAGTTAATTCTGAAACCTATTTGTAAGTATAGATTTATAATGGAAATATAATTAAAATGAACTATTTTTTTTCGTGCAATTTATGTCTAAATGAGAATATTCAATTTATTAGAAATATAATAATAAACTCATTTTAAAAAATACATGTTCGCATAACTGACTTTCAGTTATACTGCTCATAATGAGGACCTACTGATACTACTTGGTTGCTGAAGCTGAAGTAGGAAATCAAGTGCATTAACTACTATATAAAAGGTAGAAGTTCATTTAAAAAAGAAAAATGATTCCCAACTCTCTATTTACATGAACACTAGAGATGTCTAATAGGTCTAAACGAAGAATCTCCTTCCACGTTTATTGAGACCAAAATTACTATCAAAATGATGGAGATAACTGCCAACTCAAATGAATTCTTTATTGATATAAGGTATTCTGATATGAGAGGAACAAAGAAGAAATGAAGAACAATGGAAGCTATTTTTTCAAGAAACTTTCACTTAATTCAAAATCTGTAAAATACTAACATTCAGTTTCGATCTCTCTTATATTCTATAAAGCATAAGCCTTTCGTTTAGTGTATAAATCATTGTCATATTCTTTTCTATTCCACAATTACTGAAATTTGGAAATAACCTTTGGGTCGAACGGGGTACGAGGAATGTTGAAACCTACAGAGACGACTACACCAAGGCTATATGGCCTACCAAAAACACATAAAAGTGACTTGCCTCTTCGACCCGTTTTAGATATGAATAACTCAGTCTATCACACTATAGCGAAATGGTTGGTGCAAAGAAATTGTTAAGCATAGTGTCAAGGATTCTTTTGAATTTGTTGATAATATAAAAAATCTATTGGCCAAGAACAACTTCATGATATCAATAGATGTATCGTCCTTATTTACTAATATTCCCCTACTCGAAACAGTGGGTTTTATTCGCTATGAATTAACAGAGAGGGGCATAGAAACCGTAATTCCTGCATCTGCAATAAAACAGTTAATTCTTAGATGTACGATGAATGTCCATTTCCGATTTAACAATGAATACTATAGACAATTAAGTGGGGTAGCCATGTCGTCACCATTGAGCCCTCTGTTAGCAGACATTTTTTTGCAAAACTAGAAAATGGACCACTTAAAGACGCAATTAGCCATTTAACATCTTATTGTTGGTAAATAGATGATACTTTCATAGTATTAGAAAAAGAACAGGAAAAAGGAGAATTTACTTAACATATTTAATCAGTCAGTCAGCTACAACGTAGGACCATGCACATATGTTCATCGGTCCAACTTGTCATACCTCATTAGCACAAAAAGATGAACACCAATTTCATACAAGCAGTTAATTCAATGGTGGTAATATATAAAAGAAAGATTGCATGTAAGGAAATAGTACAGGAAGAGAGAATTAGTTCGTAGAAAGAAAGATATAAAGCAATTCCAATCTCTTAGTTTAAGGGAAGACAAAGAGTGTATACACCTACGCCATTGTGATCGATTCTGAGCCATGTCACAGAGAGTCTCCAACCATTAGTCACGATAGTCACGCGGACCCTAACGAAGTAGTCTGCATCTACTAACATGGCTCAGACTAGAAGTTAGTGACTTCAAGCACTGATGCCACGTTTTGGTTTGGCCGCCTCTTGTTCATTTTTCTCATGTCTATCTCCATTTCACGGAGTAATGTGTTCTTTGGTCTTCCTCTTTTCCTTTGGCCTTCAGGATTCCATGTGAGGGTTTGCCTTGTGACGCAGTTGGGTGCTTTACTCAATCTGTGTCCTATCCACTTCCAGCGCTTCTTCCTAATTTCTTCCTCCGCTGTAACCTGGTTTGTTCTCTCTAACAGTAGGTTGTTGCTAATAGTGTCTGTCCAACGGATCCGAAGTATTTTGCGTAGACAACTGTTAATAAACACTTGTATTTTCTGGATGATGGCTTTTGTAGTTCTCCAGGTTTCTGCCCCATACAGTAGAACTGTCTTGACATTTGTATTGAAAATCCTGACCTTGGTGTTGGTTGACAGTTGCTTTGAGTTCCAGATGTTCCTCAGTTGTAAATATGCTGCTCTTGCTGTGCCGATCCGCGCCTTCACATCTGCATCAGATCCACCATGTTCATCAATGATGCTGCCCAGATATGTAAAGGTTTTTACATCTTTCAAATCTTCTCCGTCAATTGTGACTGGATTGGTGCATTCTGTGTTGTATCGGAGAATCTTGCTTTTCCCTTTGTGTATATTGAGACCTACAGCTGCTGAGGCTGCTGCCACACCGTTCGTCTTCTCCTGAATTTGTTGTTGAGTTTGGGATAGAAGGGCCAGATCATCTGCGAAGTCTAGATCGTCTGACTGCATCCTAGATATCCACTGTATCCCGTGCTTCCCTTCAGATGTTGATGTCTTCATGATCCAGTCGATCACCAGGAGAAAGAGAAAGGGTGAGAGTAAGCAACCTTCCCTGACACCGGTCTTTACCTCGAACGAGTCTGTCAATTGTCCTCCATGCACAATTTCGCAGTTTAATCCATCATAGGAATTCCGTATGATATTGACTATCTTCTGAGGCACGCCGTATTATGGAAGAAACTTCCATAGTGTTGTTCTGTCCACGCTATCAAATGCTTTTTCGTAGTCAATGAAGTTGATGTAGAGTGATGAATTCCATTCAATTGATTGTTTCACAATGATCTGTAGAGCTGCGATTTGGTCTGAAGTCCCTCCCAAGCCCGGATAAAGGAGGAGGGTTAGGCATGGGGGTTAGCGACCCCATCCCGTAGAAAACCAACTCGCTAAAAAGCGCTAACCAGAAAAAATTATTCAAACCTTATACGCAACACGTGGCTCATAGTTTAAGGGGAACATATTTGATAACACTCATTCATCAATTACTTTTACAATAGAGGAAAAACAGAATAAGAGCATATCGTTTCTAGATGTCCAACTAACCAGAAGAGTAGATGGAACATTAGAAAGAGGGATACATAGAAAGCCTACAGTTGGACAATATACTCATTTCGATAGTGCTGTACCAATCAGATACAAAAGAAACTTGATAAAGATCATGACTTATTGTGCTAGAATGATTCGCTCAGATGATATCATTATAGATGAATTGGATAATATTCGTAACTTGCTTAGTAGGAGTGGATACCCAACGAAATTCATCGACAAACACATGAAGAAGATGAAAACAAGAACAAGGTTACCTACCATTCCGAAAAAAGTAATGTTCTTAAAATTACAATTCCTAAATGACGCTACCGAAAAAAGTGTGATATAAAGGTTAAGAAAGGCGCTACAGAAAAGATTTAATGCAGCCAAACTGAGTGCCGTCTTTTACAACCGCCCTACAATAAGAACGCTTAATACAGATTGCCTGAATTCGCCAAATCTAGGTGTATTTACCAATTCAACTGCTCCTATGGAGCCAGTTATATGAGGCGTACAACTCGGCAAGTCCATCATCGCATAACAGAATACCAACCATCTTGGTTGAACAAAGGGCGGGTAAGTTCTATTCTTACTCACTTGGTGGACACAGGCCATCAAGTTTAATTACATAAAGCTTTTAAGGTTATCCACCATATTCCATCAAATTTGCCCGATGGTTTACGAGTTCGTCTTTTGCACATTGCTGAAGCCATTGGAATATATGTTCACAAACCAAACTTTTGCATCCGAAGAAGTTTATACAACCACTCTCGCTACCTTGGCCGTCGGTATAGGGGAGTTAGTAGTAGAATTTTGTTAAACTATTTTCGTATTTCTTCCACTTTTTGTATTTTACTTATTCTCAACATTCGTCTTTTGATTCTTGCATAATTACTTTGGTGGTTATAATCTTCTTTCTTCCAATTACTCAATCTTCGTTTATAACCGGTATGTCACCATATAATTATTATGTAACGTATCTAATCGATGAGTACTATTTCATTATAAATGACATATATATTAATGTAGAACTATGATGAAAAACTAATTGAAAAGAAATTTCTCCGCTTGATTCTCTCCTTATTTATGTACCGAAATGTTTACAAAAACGGATAAAACCAAATGGCCCAGTAAGAGTAGACGATGAACATCCATCGTCCGCTATTGCTAAATGCATAGTTGAAACAGGTCAGAAGATTGATTGTCACCATAAACCAGCTCTGATAATATTGTTTTGTTACCCAGAGTGATGAGTTTCACTTCGCTTTATTTCCTTTCTTATTCTTGTTTACTCTTACCTTCTGTTTATCGAGTTGATCCTTTAGTTTTTCATACACAAATGTTCCTAACAGGTAAATGTGTGATTGAATTGTTCGAAACGTATTGTGTTAATATATCACATAAATTTGATAATCTTCTTATTACATTATCCAAATGATGAAAGGACAAAACTGATATAAATGACTCAAAAGCAAATCATACAGAGTGAAAATGAAGCTAATTTCAATAACTTACTCTCCAAAATTCTGCAAAATACGATGCAGAAGTACAAATAATAAAAAAACAGTACACCACACCCCATGATAGAAAGACAATAAAGAATTTGTGATTATGAAATCCAATACAATTATTCGTCCTGGAGTAAAAGGAAAACAGAAGAGGCATAAAACAAAGAAACATATATATGTAAAGAAAGGACAATAACTAGACATTAACCATGTAAACCAATGGATGAGTAGAGATTTAGACACCTGTTTGTGTTGGAGCTGGTGATACTACCTGACGGCCTAGACCTAAGTAGGTAAAGCATGTCCACCATGATTGCTATTGGCTTATATTCTGAGCCATTTCCGTTAAAATCGTATAGCCAGGGAAAACTAATAAAATCCTTATTATTTAGGTAACAGGTAACTGTATCTTCCAGTATACTAAACGATCATGATTTTTTATCATAAAGAAAATCCTATTTTGCAAACTTGATACACTCTAAACAGCGGATAAAATAATGAGAAAGATCTTCGTTACAGCTCTTAATCAACACGGACAGCCGATCAAAAAACTCCCATTTACACTACCAGTCATTCGTTATGATGAATTAAGTGTCACAACTGTGGTGCAAGGAATTCGATGCTCAACTTATTTGTCACTGAATATGATTTTTTTTCAATTAACGCTTAAACCAATACAAAAAATGTCGAATGTTCAGTAAGCTTTAATAGTAAGATCATTTACAATGATATCTATTAATTTTGTAATTGCACTAAGATAACTAGTCAAATTGTGTTGACAAAAAGCAATGCATAAACGAAAACCATATTATTATACTACCACAAGTTATTAAAGCTAAATTTATTAGGTAAAATAACCAGAAAATCAACTTTAAAAAAAATAACTTCACTAATCACAATCTCCCAGTAGTCTCGTCATCTAACCCCAGCAAGCGTAATCATGCATGCTTAAATATTAAGGAACTATTTTGAATTTTTAGTTGATAAGTAATCGCTTATATTCTACTGGTTACAATCAATCGGTTGATAATATGATATACAGATAACTACTGGCAACCGCTTCTAGGTGATGTAGATGACAAGAATTCAAGGAATCGAAGTGAAATACAATATGGATTCATTGACCTATCCTAAAATACGTATGAATAAATAAATAAATCACCCTTTATTATTATACGCATATACTTAGAATATAATTATCTCAAACACTATCGATCTGTGAAAAATCGGGACAACTTCTAACCAAGGGAATTCTAGGACTAGCACCACAGTAAACAAAAAAAGATTTTTTAAGATTGAAGAATATATACGCATTAATTTAATAAGCTAATCCATATGTTTTCGTGTACGGAACTTCAAATGTAACAGAGGAAACGTGGTTCGTGTCTCTACGCTTCAAGATAAGACATAATACAGTATGGATATGAAAAGTTAGTGAAAACAAACTATTGAAGTATGTGGAACACAAAAACAGATATAACTGTATCAACAAGTATAAATAACAAATTTATCACCAATTTACCTAATCTTGGAGGCCCTATTTCGCATTCTACAGTTAACATATATCCAGAAAAACTATAACTGTTGTTTTTTCATTAACCTGATATGACCTTATTGAGCCTAATCACTAACATGATTACCCCTTGTGATAGATGGAGATATATGAGCGAATTAGCTACTATTCTCAATGACGGAAGTTAATTACTCTGTTCGATGATTTGCCTACTTGGCCCTATATTTGGCTAAGCAATATTGTTCATTCGACAATGCTAACAGATCTCAGCCGTTCTTCAAAAGATTACTTTCAAACAACAATACTAGTTTCACCTCCCGAGTGCGTGTAGTATTTCATAGCCACCTGACACTAAACACTGAATCAATAAGCTGAAAATAATTAAAAACTGGTAGAATTTATTCTTAGCTTTTTTACATAAGTGTCAATAAAAAATACAATGTAAAAAGTCGACAGTTTTGACAATATAGTTAATCATAATGCTTGAATACACACCACGATTGAAAACTACAACTCTGAGGCATTCAGTCTTAAAATAACTCTGAATATCGGATAATCCTAAACACATGTCAATGCTACACAACGGCAACTGTTGACCAACAAATCAAAATACGATCCCATCTATACTATCCGTTAAAATATCCTAATAACAACGAATATTTAATTATTTAGTCGATTATTTTGTTTGAATTCCTCTCCAACTACTTTTAATTTAGCATTACAGCTTATTATCTGACAGTTGGCTGGTAATAATCAATCAACACAAACTTTATTTATTCATATGTATTTTTAATTCTATGATAAACAAAATGATGCTTTATTTATCTTTAGCCGTAGCCAGAGGCTCCATTCAGTCACTGAATTTTGATAACAGTAGTATATATCATGCATATATATGTCATATTTTGAATGTTTCATATTCTTACTTTTCACAAAATCAAAATTTGGACAAGCGTTCACATAGACTTGTTGTAAAGATAAATTTTTGATATTCAGATTTCAAACATTTTTCTGAAGGAGCCCGGACCAGTTTGCCGGGCGAAACGTCAAAATTAACTTCAATATAATCACTGAGATTATTCCAAACATATTTTTTACATCTGATGTCTTGTGTATATTTATTACCCGATTTCTGTCAATTCGTTAGTTCAAATTTTGACGAATTTTCATGTAAGTATAAACCTGATTAAAGAATTTCAAGTAAAATTTACCTACAATCTATGATAACTTAAAAAATTTACATTGCCTTGAGACGTAATGTCTAGGATAACCATTGAAAGCGCTTCGAAGACACGAAAATCATTACTACAGAAGTTACTTACCATGGACAATGATGATCCATTTTTAATAAGCATCTAAAACAGGGAAAACGGAGGACACTTACAAATTGAAAATCATTGACAGAAATCTGGATTTACTTTTGAATAGTAAGAGGATAGTTTCAAAAAGTAACCTAACTTATTCAGGATTTCGTTTATCCAGTATAGATGATTAAGGATACTATTTCACAAAAATTAAAATTACCTAAACTGTCAGGTACAACTGTGTTCAGTCAATTCATTTTGCATTATTCATATATTTCATTATGACTCTTTCATGGTAACTCCCAAAAATGCGAAAACCACCTAATTGCAAATATATCCTTTTACTTATAATATAACTCAAATACTGAACACAAGTTTGCGCATCCTGCCTTACGTGTGAGCCCTACCCATCTAGTTAAGTGGAAGTGGTTTCCAAACTGTGATATATATATATATATATATATATATATATATATATATATATATATATCAATCTTCCATGTACGGAAACTTAACAATAATTATGCATAAATCGAAGTTCAAAAAATTATAGCTAATCTGAAACCAGGAAGAGCAGCTTGTCCAGATGGATTAATCTCTAGAGGTCTTTAAGTACGGTGATCCAGTGTTAGCGATTAGGTTGACTAACATTTCAGCTAAAATCTGGGAACTGAACGTACTAACACCTGATTGGCCACAATCTTAGATTGTCCCAATATATAAGAAAGGATCAAAATCATCCTGTGATAACTATAGAGGGATTAATTTGACTAATATAGTATCTAAAATATTGGCCTCAACAATTGTCGGACTCTTAATAAGGGCTCTTGAACTTCAAACACGAGAAAATCAGGTTGGTTTCAGACATGGTCGTGGTTGCATCGACTACATATTCATCCTTCGTCAGGTTCTGGAACACAGACGTGCTTATCGGCACCCGACTATGATAGTTTTTATCGACCTAAAAGCAGTATTGCACTCTGTAGACCGAGAGGTTCTGTGGCAGTGTCTGTCATTAAGTTGTGAACCTCGGAAGTATATAAACTTTGTAAAGGCTCTTTACTCGAACACTACCAGTCAAGTCATAGCTCATGAAGAACTGTCATCCGATTTCTCAACCTCAAGTGGTGTACGGCAACACTATAGCAAATCACGCGCAACTGAGTTTATTCACATTTAATTCGGTTGATCCCTTTTGTTAATTTATTTAACGGACAGAGTCATCCGTACTATAACAACTTATCTATATCGTCGTACCTTTATTACTGTTGTGCTTGTATGGGATATGTATGCTTGAACATTGCTTACCGCCTACGCATATATTCGTTCTGCAAGCTTTATTATTAACTGCTTAATTGATTCTATGATCCATTCATTTCCCTATATATATATACATGTACATTTAATCTTATACACACTCTCGGTTCGCTGACTCATTCATTTGCCTCTCTGCTTTGTGGTCTGAGTTATCTACCCTGGTATGGCCGAGAGTGGGGTGGGCCCTCCCTCCCTCTCGAAATGCTCTCACACGGCCATGCGTATACAGCCTCTGCCAGGGAAGTCCTACTCACTGCCATCTCGTGGCGGGGGTGTTGTCTGTGAAAATGAAAGGACGAAAAGCGAATGTCCGGCGCTTTAACCGGAACCCAAACCAATGGTGCACATGAGCTCCAGTATCCTGAAGGAAAAAATGGCGTATGAACCAGTCGTTGGTCACCGGCTACCATGGGATTGCATCTCCTTACGATGCTCCATTGCCTTGTGGATCAGACCTTTAGGTCAAGGGCTCAGGGTGTAGCCTCATAAGAAAACCACCTGCTTCGGTCTGGGAACCCGGGCAGCATCACAGCCCACACACACACAAATATGGTGTGGTGCATATATATTTGGTGCCCTCTTGTACCAATATTTATGTGTTCAAATAAATAAATAATAAAAAGCTGTGGTCGCTGCTTTTCTTTGCCTTCTGATTTCAAACACCGTTGAGGATTATATGATAATGGTTACGAAGCACAGCCACTAAAAGGTTGTCCACTATCTCCATTTCTGTTTAATTTCATTATAAACCTACTGTTGGAAACAAACTTCTCTTCGACTGAATTTTCGGGAATTGATCTCCTTCCAGGAGGTCCACTTATCGACTAAGAATACGCAAATGACATAGTCCTGTTTAGTGAAGACGCTGATAAAATGCAGAGTCTTCTGGTAGCACTAAGTAACAATGCCAGAATGTTTGGAATGCGCTTCTCTCCCTCTAAATGCAAGTTGTTGATTCAGGACCGGTCTGCATCAACACCTGAACTAAGGATAGGGAGTGAAGTAGTCGAACGCGCTGACAACTTCACTTATCTTGGAAGTCTGATCAGCCCAAATGGGTTAATGTCTGACGGAATCTCAGCATTGATTCCCAAAGCTCGTTTGGCTCTTGCCAGCTTACATCACCTGTGGCGAGGGCGACATATCCGTCCATCTATTAAGGGACGAGTATACTGCACAGCAGCTCGTTCTGTTCTACTTTACGATTGTGAAACGTGACCCTTGAGTAGAAGATACTGGTAAGCTACTAGTATTTAATCGCAGATGTCTTAGAAATACTGGTCGCATCTGCTGGGATCACTGGGTAGGTAATAGTGAGGTTAGACGCAGGGTATTAGGGTATAATATCACTAACTTTTGGTTTGAGCCATGTTGGTAGATGCAGACTACTTCGTTGGGGTCCGCGTGACTAACGTGTCTAATGGTTGGAGACTCAATGTCACATGTCTCAGAATCGATCACAATGGCGTCAGTGTATACACTTTTTGTCTTCCCTTAAACCGTGAGATTGAAATTGCTTTATGTCTTTCTTTCTACTACCTAATTCGTTCTTCCTGTACTATATCCTTATACACAATCCATTCTTTTATACATTATCACCATTAATGTGACTACTATGAATTCGGTGTTCATCTTGTGCTAACGAGGTGTGGCAACATGGACCGATACATACATGTGTCGGGTCCTACTTCGTAGCTGACTGACTGATAAATTAAAAGAAACTAGATCAACGGTGTTGTGTTAACTTGATTTGAGCATAGCACACTTAAGATAGATGTCTCATAATCTATATAATATAGACGTTATGAAATGCCAAACTCACACTCCACAGGTAGAACAGTGATGTGAACGATCGGGTTTTATTATGGCACATACGTTGCACACACGGATCTTCCCATCTGAACCGGAAAGATAGACTGGCAGGTTTCGTTCTGCTATTATGGCTTCTAATATTGCATTTTGTTCAGATTCTTTCCCAGTAGCAGCATTCAATGAATCCCATTCACTACTTGTTAGGTGGAACTATGATAAACAAATAAAACAAGTGGACAGAAGTTTAACGAAAAATGGAGCTTCTAACTGTCGAATAAAGGGACAGAAAGGATAACACCAAAGAAACTCATCTAATGAAATTCTTTTAAGGTTAATGTGTGTAAGCTTTATCTAGAAATATAAGATGACATTCACGAACCAAATTCTCAGTTAATCCATCCACTATTTATGAATCCCTTAAACAAACACCACACGTTACCATTACCAACCAACTTTCGTATTTCATAACTAAAAATATGAGCCATTGAATAGAAATGAGAAAAAATCGTCACCAATCAACAAAACTGTCGTAGTCCAGTACTATAGACATCGGACGTTAGGAGACTATGTCATGAGTTTTAATGCAATCTACCCAAACAGGTGGTGTCTGGAAGTATTATTAGTCCTTGTACAGGAGAAGCTATCAACCCAATATGCTCACTAACAAATTACCTGCGTTTTATTTATTTATTTGAACACATATCTGGGTACAAGAGGGCATCAAATATATATGCGCCACACAAAACAATGGGAATTTGAAGAGGAGAAGGAAGTTTGATAATAATAATAACAATAATAATGGGGAAAACGGAAAGGTACAATTAGAAGAAATCTTTCAGTTAAGGAAGACAACCACTTCTTTCTTTCTTTATGAAGAAAGCAAAAGAAGGTTACAGCAGGATCACCACTGACTTCAATTCTGAGCCATATGTGATAACGTCTCTAGCCACTGTGTTGCACCATCTCTCAGACCCCAGCCAGGAAGTCGTGAATGACAAACACAAGCCAGACCTTTGCAGCTTTCTTTCATACCACGACACTATGCCATACACTGACCACCACTCCGATTTTTCTAACCAGTCCCAGAGTCGGCAAATAATGCACGACGTGGAATTCTCTGGGACGACATTCGGAGAACATGTCCAAGCCACCGAAGTCGGTGTTTCAAGATGGTGACACCAATTGAATTATCATCATCTCTGTGCCCGAACACACGATGCCGAACCTCTGCATTACTGACATGGTGTTGCCACTGAATGTCAGAAATCCTTCGGAGACAGCGATGATCGAACACAGAGAGTCGTCTAACGTCCTCAACTCGGAGAGACCAGGTTTCACAAGGATAGAGGAAAACTGCTCTCACAGTCGTGTTGTAGATCCGACCTTTTACAGCCAGACTAACATCACGAAGGCGCCAAAGATGGCCCAGATTGGCATAAGCCGCTCTGGCTTTCACTATACGTGCATTGATCTCATCACTCACACTCCCACCAGCACTCATACAGCTACCCAGATACACGAACTTCTCGACTACTGCTATCTGCTCACCATCCAGGGTGAGTACAGGATTGGAATCCTGCCAGTCTTGTAGAAGTACTTTGTACTTCGGAGGCGCAAAGCACACACCATACCTGCGTCTTAAACTCAAGTAAAGCAGAATATTTCTGTGTTGAAATACACAAAAAGTATGTATACAGCTTTTTGAATCCTCACAATTAACACTATATAAAGCTGATGAAAGCATTGTGTGACTCAACTCAGTATTTAAAATTGTATCAAGAAATAGGACTTAACGGAACACTTAATGTTTACCTTCTGACAATTCTTTCGAGAATCTTTGAACCCTTACACCCTTGGTTTTATGTAAGACGTAAAAAAACATACCGATTTCAGACTATCAGAAGGACTTAATTAACTCATTGCATAGTGTACACACTTATTTCAACGTTATAAAGTGTCGAATGACCGATTTAGGCATTATGAAATGTGAGCTTTGAAAAATGGCTTTGACAACTAAGAAATTGAAAAAACTTAGGCATCATTTCGTGACAAGTATTGGTACTCTACTACCAGGTATACAAATAACTTGATCACATGTCAAGCGCTTCGAATCATATTGCATAAGCCTACCCACCACCCACCTAGAGGTACAAAACTTAATGGAATACGAGTGGTGTAGGGGAAAGAAGTGCCTAAGCCAAAACAATCAATCCATAAAATCCCTGACAACTGGATGAGCCGAGTGGGCAGGTATAGACTATTTCATTGAGGTTCTAGCGATAATCACGAAGAAAGTTGAACTTGAGGAAATTGCTTTAATGTATGAGATATTTGTATAGAACTTTAAAAATACTGCTGAATTCACTAGGAAAGTGGACTATAACCGTGTTTCGTAACAAAAAGCCAGAACGAAAACTCATTAACGCACTTACAGAACCGATCAAAACTCGGAGTCTGAGATTGAAGTCCTTTTTCTTAGTTTTTTGACTATTAAATGTAAATAAAATATTCACTGATAACCTTAATACGAGCTACATTCAATCTAATCAGATGGACGACATTATTAAAGCAAGATTTACAGTTGCAACACAAGATAAGATTAAGTTAAGTTGTTAAAAAAAACTAATGCGTTAGTAGAATCTACTAAAGTAGTGTTTATTCGGCAAACACTAATTTCTACGCATACAATGGTGGGAACACACGTAGCCCTACCGGTATATCAACACATAAACCAGTCTAGTCAGAAAGTACATTAAATCAAACCTTGGTCGAAAAAACATAAAATGACTGTAACAGACACTGACCTGTTTCGGAGGCTGAATAGGAGGTACTAGGATAGCCTTCATGTATGACCAACAAAACAATATCAGGAACAAGTGGAAAAATATCAGAAAAAACACTAAAAGTAGAACTCAGAGTATTAAATTACCTTTTTCTGCCACATAATTAACCTGTACTAAATTAAAGTAGTGAAATATAGCTTAGACGAGTTACCTATACAAAGTGAATACACATAAGCATAATACGACCACCCGAGAACTAAAAGTATAAACACTACAGGAACCCATCCACAAATCTTTTGGCACTTATTAATAGCGCCTTTATTGTTACAACATGCCATCTCTAGACCGATAGGTAATTAGAAATCATAGCCCCTTACATTAGCACCCAAGGTCATACATTTCAAATAGCTCCCGAAAACAAGTGACCTATTGAGTTCAGAAAATTAATATCAAATCTCAAACTTTACTGAAAAAAATCAGCAACCTGTTCGTCGCTAGAAGTTGGCTTCTGAGTACTGGGTGATAAGATTTAGTTACCAAGAGGTGCGATTCCTCTTATACTTCGTCTGAAGATCTAAAACTTGAGAGTTAGGTTTGTATAGTAAGAACAGAAGGCCTAAAGCCTATGTCAACTCCTTTCTAGTAAGCTTCTATGGGAAATTATTCCTCTCGTGAATGAGTCAATTAGAGGTGCGGACAACTCCGCTTCGGGTAACAGGTTCCAAGAACTCGGTGTGAAGACCACCCTCGATAAGTATCCAATCCCGCACATACACGATTTTTCATTAAATCTACACGGTAAACGCATCTTTTCGAACCTTGACCTGGTTCGAGCATACCACCAAATCCCAATAGCACCGGAAGGCGTTGAAAAAAGGCCATAATCACATTTTTTGGTTTGTTTGAGTTTCTAAGTATGACATTCGGACTGAAAAATGCTGCTCAGACATTTTAACTCTTCATGGACAACGTTACTAGAGGTCTGGATCTCGTGTTTGCCTACATAAACGACGTTTTAATTGCAAGTGCATCATTAGAAGAACACGTTCAACATGTACAGATCCTTTTTGATCGCTTTGAAAAACATGGTGTTGTCATTAATCCGTCGAAATGCATATTCGAAGTTTCAGCCTTGGAGTTTCTTGGGCATTACATCGACTCTCAAGGTATTAAACCACTTTCAGAAAAAGTCGAAGCCATAGTAAATTTTCCTGAGATTAGGTCGATAAAGGCATTACGTCGGTTCCTGAGGATGTGCAACTTCTACCGGCGTTTTCTCCCCAACTGCGCGACCACCTTACAATCTTTGACAGACCTACTGAAGACCGATAATGCTACAGCTCAGACGAAAAAGGAGAATACCTTCACATTAACCTCCGAGGCAAGAGAGGCCTTTGGTAAAGCGAAACCGATGATATCATCGATGATAACATCTAAATACTGACCCCACAACACACTTGATTCTGTGCACGGATGCATTACACAAAGCCGGGGCAGTACTGCAGCAACAAATAAACAACGTGACTACTCCTACAGCGTTTTTCTCCAAAAGACAGTCATCATATCAGAAACGCTATAGCACCGTCGGCCGGGAGTTACTAGCCATGTATTTAGCCGTTAAACACTTCACCTTCTTACTACAAGGGAGAACCTTCACCAAAAACCTTTGTGTTACTCGTTCAATACTTCATACGACCGACATTCACCGCGTGAAGCACGACAGTTAGATTACATCTATCAATTTACAACAGATATCCAATACGTCAAAGGACACACTAATGTCGTAGCGGACACATTATCACGAATGGATGTTAATACTCTGGTACGTAAGCAAGACATTGATCTGGAAACAATTGCAAGATTGCAAATAGACGACGCAGATATAAAGAGCTGCAAAGAAAAGTTTAACTTGATACTCAAACACGTGCCTATTCCTTTTTCTAACGCATCTATTATTTGCGACGTTTCAACGGGCAGCAATCGCCTCTTTGTCCTGCAAGCCTGTCGACGTCAAGTATTCCGACAACTGCACGATATTTCACATCCAGGTATCAGAGCCACCACAAAATTAATAACTGAACTTTTCGTGTGGCCAAAGATTAATTCAGATATAAAACGATGGACTCGAAGCTGCTTACAATGTCAACGCAGCAAGATTCAAAAACACCCATCAGTCCTGTCGGGAGGTTACCTCTGCCAGAGAAACCTTTCCGGCATATTCATCTAGACATTGTTGGTCCACTGCCACCATCAAATTCATTCACGCACATCCTCACCGCAGTGGACAGATTCACAAGATGTGCCATAGCATGCCCTATTACCGACACTTCTGCCGAAACAATAGCATTCGTTTTCCTTGACAGCTGGATATCGAACTATGGAGTACATTCGATAGTCACTACAGATCGTGGTCCCCAGTTCCAGTCTATATTATTTTAGGAGTTCACAAGACTTCTGGGCGTAAACCACATCGAAACAACAGCTTATCATCCGGCAGATTATGGCTGAAAGATTCCATCGCCAGCTAAAAAGCTCACTGATGGCACAAGCGGACTCTTCTAAGTGGAGCGGAAGACATCGTATGCACGGCCGCCGAACTAGTTTACGGCACGACCTTAACGTTACCAGGACAGCTGGTCAATGGTGAACCTACAACATCTGTGGATCCTTCTGGTTTTGTGAGCCGCTTACTGCAAACGATGCAGAATAACAAAGCAATGTCTCCGCAAGAACATAACAACCGAGTCCAACTCGATAAACATCTGGAAACACGCAAATTTGTTTTTGTTCGAGTAGACGCTGTAAAAAAGCCTCTGACACCACCATATAAATGTTTTTATAAAGTAATAGAACGCACCCACAAATACTTCATTATCAACAAAAACGGGAACAAGGAGACAATTTCTATAGACCGAATAAAACCAGCTTTCTACGAAGTCCCTCAAGACAAAGAAGACAATACTGCGAACAAACAGCCACCCCCATCAATTGCTACGAAACAAGAAGAGAACGAAAAACTTAGCACTACACCCTCTTTTTTAACACGTTCTGGGAGACTTATAAAAAAACTCAAGCGTTATGTACATTTTGCAGCATAAAAAGCAAAAACAATCAAAGCAAACAATTATCGAGGTCCTACACTATCAATTTCACCCAAACAAAATTTTTCCTTTCACAGTGTACATAATCACATTTTTTCCACAATTATTCGTTTTGTCACATTTTTTTGTTACAATAATAAACGAGTAAACTCCATTTAATTATTCATTTATTGTACACAAAAATAAACAGTTCTATTTTTGTGGGTCATTAGCAGTTTTGAACATTATTATCACTGTTAACCAAACAAGACATTAAATGACAGTGTTTTTATTTCTTTTGTGTTCGTTACGCTATGCTATACTACTGCTATTCTCAAACGATAACACACTGCATCTTACTAACGTATATGTCATATCCATCGCCACAATTTTCGTTGGTTATAACTGTAAACACTATTTTTGTATATACGTATATATCACATCCTTACATTTGTTTTCTTATTATAACCAGTGTTACCTCCGGACACTCTGGGGGAGCTATGTGGAGATAGGTCTGACAAGCTAATTTTGTAAATAGTTTACTGAGGAATAAAATAATGAACACATTATTACATCAGAAACCTCACAACCCTAACATAAATAAAAATGAATATTACGCATTAAAACAGCTGAGAGAGGACAAAACGATCATAATAACGAGAGCAGATAAAGGTAATACTACAGTTATTATGAATAAAACAGAGTATGAGAACAAAGCCAAAGAACATCTACAAGAGGGTCCATATGAACAAATCAAAGAAGCGAAAAGTAGAACAACTCTTAATAAACTCAAGGCGCAAACTAGCAAACTCTTACAGTCATTAAAAGCTAAGCTAGGATCGTCCTTATGGTTTATGTTATATCCAAAGAGTTGCAATCCATGCAGATTTTATGGGCTACCAAAGATCCACAACAATAATACTCCACTAAGACCAGTGGTAGACTATACAAATTCACCGACTTACAATCTAGCTAAATACTTAGCTAAGATTCTCAAACCATATGAAAAACGAATTAATCATGGAATTAAAAACTCTATGGAATTCAAGAATTTAATTGATACCATCGATATAGAAGAAGACGAAATAATGGCAAGTTTTGATGTATCTTCCTTATTCACTAATGTACCTATCAGTCGAGCTATGGATATTATCAATGATTATTTAGAATCTGATTTAGATTTGAATTTACGATGCCCATTAGATCCATCAGAGGTTATAAAATGCTTGGAATTATGTTTAAGATCTACCTTATTCATATTTCGAGGTCAACTTTACAGACAGAAAGAGGGTATAGCAATGAGCTCACCAGTTTCTCCGATTGTAGCGAATTTATTCATGCATTCCCTAGAAACTAGTGCAATCGCAAAGAGTTTATGTCCACCAAAGTTATGGTTAAGGTATGTAGACGACATTTTTATTATCAATAAACGGAATGATATGGAAGAACTATTTAACAATGCAAACAGCATTTCTGAAAACATTAAACTAACTAAGGAATTAGAATCAGTTGACCACAAACTAGCATTTCTAGATTGTCTGGTTGAACGTCGACACAATAATAAGAAGTTAAAAATAAATGTCTACAGAAAATCAACGCATTCCGAGAGATACTTGGGTTTTAATTCAGCCCATTCACAGAGCACGAAAATTAATGTGGTAAAAAATCTAATGAACAGAAGTACTAAGATTGTTACAGACAAGGAAGACCAACGAACCGAATTAAATAAAGTGTTTTCTACTCTTAGGGATAACAACTACCCAAAAAGGTTTTTAAAAAAGATTATTAAAAATGAAAGAAAAACTAAACTAGAAAGTCTACGAAAAGAATGGAAGTACACCGTAGTCATACCTTACCGGAGTGAAACATCAGAAGAAATCAAACGGATTCTAAACAAACATGATATAAGAGTGTATTTTAGAGCAAATAACACATTAAGATCGACATTAGTGAAAGTTAAGGATAAATTAGCAAAGGAAGAACAACAGAACATTGTGTATGAGATTCACTGTCATGACTGTAATGCTACCTATGTTGGAGAAACATCCAGGCAATTAAATGTAAGATTGAAGGAACACAAACAATGCTTGAAAAATGTTCCAAAATCCTCGGTAGATTTAAAGAAACTTGAAAATAAGTCAGCGATAGCGTTACATGCGTTAGAAACAGGACACAAGATTAATTTTGAAGGGACCAAAATACTTCAGAAAGGTTTTAGCACCCATAAAGAAAGATTGACAGCAGAAGCTTTGCATATATGGGCGAACAAGAACAGCCTGAACCGAAAAGATGGTATTCAAATGGCAACTACCTGGCAAATTTCGTTTGACAAGTAAATTTGGAACCTATCTCTTGTTTAAACCTGTTTTTAATATCACATGCATCGTTATTATTATTAAAAGAACTGAATGAGTTTCTAAACAATACAATTTATGTTTTGACATGCACATCGATCTTTCATTATCAAGTTTTTCATCCTTGAACTTGAACTTTATTTATTCCTTCATATCAATCTCTCACACATACATACATACATACACACTCACACACATACGATTTGTTACTCAGTTAAGTATT